TCCTGCTGACAGCCGGTTTTGACATGGTGGAGTTGTCAACTTCTAAAATTAATTTTCTCAAACTAATGAAAATGCGGGTTTCTTTTCATTAGTGTTTTTCTTCTAATGGCATGTTTTTGGGGCATAGACACAGAGTTTTGTTTGTGTCCAGCCTAATCTGCCATCCAAGCAACCATCCAAAGCAGCGCCAGCATCAGCGTGCCCGGCGGGCAGGGCAGGGCAGGGCAAGGCAGGGCAGGGCCAAGGGCATTGAAGAATGCCAAGAAAGTGGCTGTGAGGCATTGGGAGAGAAGGCAAGAGAGAGCAGGCTTTGGAACTCTATCCCCACCTTCACTGCCTGGCTAACACGGATAAGTTGCCAGCCCTGATGCTGATGGTGTAACATGTGACCTCTGCAACACACTTGTATAGGTACTTCCTATTAATGTCTTTTCTTAAACTCAACTTTCATGTTAAGACTTAACCAAGAGAAACTGTATAGTGCCTTAAATGATAATTTCATTCATACCGATTGAAACTGTAATCCGTGCTGAAGTTTCCAGTGTTAAAATCCACTTGAGTTCTGTTTTCAGTTGCCCATGTTGCTAGAACTCGTTTCTGACCCCAGTTTCATAGTGTACAGTTTTCATTCTTTTATGAGAAATAGAATTTGCTGTTAAAATTCCAAATGTTGCAATTTCTACTTTAACTGGCTTTGTACAGACTTGTTCACTTTTGGCTGCGCAAAAGTCAAATGTTATTAGGTGTAATTGTACAAAGATGTGTTACTAAAAATGAGGAATATTAAAGCTCACTTGTATGGAATCCACAAAATATAGCTGATTAAGTTTGATTTACGTTTTTTTACTATATACAGAAAGTGCTGTAAACTAGGAAACGTACTCAGTGAATAATGGTTAGTTTAAATTTATAGCCAACTTTTCTTTTTTCCCATAGGCCAAGTAAGTGTCATTGCTTGTACAGCACGGGCTCCCTCTTGTGGCTAACTTAATTTGTGAAATGGCTTTGATTTTCCAACACAGTGATGTTTTGAGTTATATTTTATTTAAACTACTATTAGCAAAAACATAAATGTGTAGCATCTTGCTTAACAAGGAAAGGTCGTAGAGGAAGCAAAGAAATGAGGAAATCCTGAAGATTTTGGATGGCTTCTTAGTTCTTTTCCCTATTGTGTTAGGGATGAATATATTCCTCCTTTTAGTCTCACGCTTCAGTTTAAAAAAACCAAAACCAAAACAACAAAATAAGTCCAAAGCTCCCAAATATGGCAGAGATCCTTAATATAGGTGAGTTTGAACTAAAAAAAGTAAAATGGGAATTCCTTTCAAAGTGTTTTTAAAAAAAGTTTAGTAAAAGGCATTTAACTGTTAACCTGCAGTAGATTATAAGAGCATTTATTTAATTTAGTTTGGCTCAGCTGTTTGCTTACATGAGTGGATGCAAGTCAGAGGGAAGGGAAACATGATTCCCTAGGGCGTAGGATGTGGTTGGTTTTATTTTTAAATCTGGTCATATGGTCATTTCAATTTGCACATTTAATAATTGATACAAAACCTTCATTTTAGTAGTGCAGATAAGTCTTTCACATTAAGTTCCTTATTGCAGTCAGCTTAACTAGAGATTCACTTTCAAAGTGTGAAGTAATGCCTGAAATATTTGTTACTGTGCCTGGCACAGTGCATTTCATTTGTTTGATAATGAGTAATATTAATCATTGGCGGTGGTGAAGTGGTGTCTCCTTGGTCTCAGGAATAAAAATATTTGACAAGAATTTGACCTTTCTTTCTCCTAAAGGAATCAGCAAATAGAGAGAGCTCCCAGTTCTAGTTCTACAGGGTTTATTTTCAAGAGTTCATTTAAAACATCTGTGTAGCCAAAGGGCTTTTTCTAATTAAGAAGATTGGCCATTAAAATTCCATGGCTATTTAAATTTACCATTTGTGACTCAAACTGAAATATTAATAAGGGTGCAGATGCAGACACAAAAAATAATGTAGACCTTATTAATGTGTTGAGTTGTTCCAGCTTGTGAAAACGAAATAAAAATAAACAAAAAAAACCAACCCTGGAGACTCACCACTTACTGGGAATTCCCGTTAGGTTTCTTGTGCATTAGAGAATCTGATTAGAGCACAAATTATTCAGAAGCTACTGATTCAGATACTGCAATAGGACAATCTGAGTATACATTATATGTCAGAAGTGTAAGCGGTAAAACAATTCACAGTAAAAAAATGAAAACAAAGTGAAAGAGGGATTGCGATCTGGCTTTAAAGATTTAATAAAAGGCATGCTTTGTTGTGGGCTGTTAAGAACTATACAAACATTAATTTCCTATGCAGTATATGCAATACCTACATTTCACCTTAACAAGACCTTTCTTTTTGTAAGATTTTCTTCATTTTGCCTTCAAAGGAAGTGGGAACAGGCCTTTGGAAGGAAAATGCTTTTATTAAGATACTTTATCATATTTCTGGATATTCTTTTGTGGGGAGTTAACTTGAATAAATGCTGTGAGGTTATCCCAGTATGGTAGCACTTGTTAAACAGATGGAAAACAAATAATATCAGGATGGGAATTCATAAGAGCAGTTTACTCTGAGGAATCATTGTGTTTAGCTCTTTTCCTTTTTTTTTTTTTTTTTCCCGTGGGATGGCATGTTGCTAAAGCGGTATTTTACAGCAGTACCTTCCTTATTAGTGTGGTTGCACGGGTGGAAGGAGGGAGAATGGCAGAGGTCACAGAGTTAAATGCCTGGAGATGGCTGCAGAAAGCAGGAGGCACAGTTCCTAGAAAATGGTGAAATGAAGATGACTTCTTATTTAACCATTTTCTTTCCACACTGCCCCACAAATTAATATTTCTTACTGTAGGTGAGGCTTCATATGATGTTTGGTGATATCTGAGACTTGAGGCCACATCCTGAACTGTTGTATTTCCAGGAATAAGTAAAAGCCGTGAGCTGGTCAGATGGGTCAGTGGTGTGCACAATACCCTGCTTGGTGGGGGTCCTGGGTTTGTAGCGAACTTGAGGCTTTGCTTCCTCAGGCAAATTAGTGCTTGTAAGCATTACAAAGCCTCCCTGGAGAAGCTGATGTTTTTCAGGGAGCTTTCACATTCCCCACTGCCTGATTATTCAGCCTCTGAAAGGGATGCCTATCTTTCCAGCCCCAGGGTGAATGCAGGGTTTGCAGCTGCTATTTTGTGAGCAGGGCATTGCATGGAAGGAGAAAGCAAATCAAAACTGAGGAGTGAAAAAGACTGTTAAATGCCAGTGCATACCAAGCTACTGCATCAGGGAGTTAAAAACAGCATGTACAGATGTGAGAAGGAGAAGTAAGTGCAAGAAGGGAGAAGGAGAGAGAGGAGAAGTGAAAATCAGAGAAACTAAATGCATTATAATAAAGACAAACACACAAAGCCTCAAAAAGGTCTGAACACTAAGAAAAATCAGACTGCAAGCTACTCGTGGCCGTAGCTGTTGCTGTCACGAGGACCTGAGCAGTTGGAATGGACAGCAGAGCCGTCTGTCAAGGATGGGAATTGTCTAGGGTGGCTGCATCACACTGCCTGGAAAGCCATCACCACCTTGGAGCCTGAGAAGGTTGTGGATTCATCTTGGTCCCACTAGGGAATCACAAATGTAAGGTTGTTTCTCACCCTTCTGTCTCTCTCTGGTATTTATAAAAGCAGTAAACTAATCTCTCCTAAGAAATTCTCCAACGGTAAAATCAGAAAACAAAACAAAAAAACCCCATTACCATCCCTAAATAATCTGCATTTATACCAACTGTAAAACATTTACTGCAATACAGATGTCTCTGAACATTATTCCTAGGCTGAAGTCTGGAAATGAGCCAAACACAGTGAAAGTGAAATAAGAAAACAGTGAAGCTGTTAGTGCTAAAGAGCAGTTTGGAATTATTTCTGCTACAGCTCTGTCATTGGGCAAGGGAGAGCAGATTTAACAGATGCTAAAACACAGAAGTCTGCTATCCTCCTTGATCTTCATTTAAATTTGGATTATATCACGCCAAAAGCATCTTTGAATCTGATAGTCCCTTTTGTTTAAGAAAAAAAAAAAGCAAGCTGTATGATCTGATGATGAAAGACTTAATTTTTGAGAAACTGTAACTTCAGTGGGAGCATTTATGCATGCTGAATCTGCCTAAAAGTTGCATCCCTCACATCTCAGATGGTCTAGCTGTCGACACTGAGTTCATGTAACCCCAATGAAAAGACTTGCCTGATCTCTCCATGCAAATGTAGTCCCTGCCACTATGTAAAATGCTTATTTAATCTATTGCTCTGCATGGGTTTTGGTGAATTCTAGGTGCAGCTTCAGCAAGAGCAGTGGTTTTGCACTAACCTTGCGATGAATAGGATAAGAAAAATAAAAATAAAGGGGATCCAGTTTGGAGACAGCATCTTCTGTAATTCAGTGGAAACTGTGAAGCATGCCATTCAGGCTTGCTTTACTACATCTCTGTGTCTGCAACAGGGAAATTACAATTTTGGCTAAGTACTTTCTCTGTAAATGAAACGCTTGCTAAAATACTTGTGTGTGTGAGTATGCGTCATTGCCGGTTTGGTTTGTTCATTGTTGTTTTTCTGCCCTGGACATCGCAAAGGTAAATGAAGTGAGCAGAAGCTCTTTTTGGAAATGACCAGAAAGTGAGAGGCTGTACTGTGATTGCAGCTGAGCAACAGGTCTTCTTTACTGGTGCTCACTGGGAATGGCCAGGGAGTACTGGTGTGTCAGTCTGGCGTGGCTTGTCCCTCCCCCAACCCACAAAGGGCTCTGTGGGCCACAGGACATTTCTGAGGGCCATTTACAAAAGCATTATTCCAAACACATTGTCCTCAGCTGGATAAGGGGTGGCAGTAGCTGGGCACTGATTTGGGTTGGGAAGTTCTGCTGTTGTTTGTATTTCATGCATACTCTTGCTGAAGGCTACTGGAACAGGAATGGTGATTGAAAACTTGTTGTTCAAGAAATGACTTTTCAGTTGAAATAAAGCGAGGAAGTTTAATGCATTTTCTGAGATAATAAACCTTAAAATTGAAGTCACTGGTGGATTACATTTACCATGATTTCTGTGGAGGGTCTGTGCTGTTAAAAGTTATTTGAAGAGCAACATGTCAGTCGATGGTTTACACAGCTCTGCCTTTGTTGTCTTCGTTGGTATTTATAGGAGAAGTCCAGATGTACAAGCTAAAGAAGAGCTGTGGAAACATATTCAGTAAGTACGGCCCTTGTAGGGTCTGAGTGACTGCTTGGTTTGCTTCTAATGTAGTTATTCACATCCCTGCACTGTGGTTATAAGGCATTATGTTCTGATTTAGTTATGTGCCACAGTAAATTATACGGGTGTTAATGGCCCGTATATGTGTAGAACATGCTATGTGTAGACCCTGCTATGTGTAGAAGATACTGCAGATCACTGAATGCACTGAATACAGATGACCATTGTATGTAGATAAATTATTAAAGAAGCATACAGCATTTTAGAGACGTATTGCTCTGTGGTTTCCAAACTGTCCTTGTTTGTAATGCTGACGCTTTTAGGATAAGCCCCCATATGCTATAGACCTACCAGTTTGGAAGATAGTTAGCTATTCCAAAGCATCTCATAGTCGATGTTCAATATACACAATGTTCATATATATTGCGAAGCAACAAGATCAGATTTGCAGGGAGGTGAGAGGAAGGTAGAACAGGATGAGACACGCCGTTGAAGCAATCAAGGTGAAGTTAGACACATTTCTTAATATGTTTCCTATTTTTATGTCAAGATAGCTTCAGGGCTGACAACAGCTTGTTTCAGTATATCTTTTCAGCCTAATATAATAAAAACAAGAATGGTTTTGCAGTTGGTAGCTACTGTTATATTATTTACTTTGCCTAATCCTTTCTAGGAAGGAGCTTGTGGATCCATCTGGCCTGTCTGAGGAGCAATTGAAAGAAATTCCATACACGAAAATAGAGTGAGTTTATGTCAGGATTTTACTTTGTGAATATAAAAGCCCAGAGTTCTTTTACTGTGAACTCTGTCGTACTGAAATAGGAGTGGATGTAATCTCTAAGCTTTTATGTACTCCAAATACTCATCTAGGAAGGATTGGGTGAGGATATTTAATATTTAAAACCTAATATTTCCTCTTTCCAAAGTCTGAAAAAAATCGTCTTCATCTCTCCCTACCTCTTCCACACAGTCATGAACCTGCTGGATATCTGTATGTTCTGTATGTCTCCCTATGCTATCCATCAATCTGTTTTATGTTATACACTACAGAATCAGAGAACTGACTGCAAACAAGCAAATCCATTTCTTTCCTAAACTTCTGCTTCCTTTTAAATTTTTATTCTGATCATCTAAGGCACTGTTTGACCTGTTCAGCCCCTTACTTGTCATGGGCAGCTGCCAGGGCATAGCTATTTCCTTAAGAACCAACATCTATTTCACTGTGATAATTGCCCATTTGAAATGCCATGTGTCAGTGCAGGCAGCTGCATGTGGCAGAAATGGGATCCTGGTTTGCATTATAATGTGCTTCCACAGCACTACTAAACAGAAAAGGCTGATGTTAAAGCTGTATATATTAATGCATTCTTTATTAAGTAGTTCGATTTTCAAATATGGGCATGCCAGTTTGTGACCTTTGCACTCTTAAGAGATTGAATTCCAAGTACAGACTCATAAAAAAAGAATCAGGCTTTTAAATTCAGCCAGTGCAAGAAGCTGTCTGTTATACTTCAATAAGAAATGGGAGGACCTCTTAGTCTGTACTTGAATTTATGTTTTTGTGCCAAAGGTCTGGTTTACTAACCTACCATTGTGAATTCTGTTTCTCTCTTAGGACTCAAGGTGACCCAATCCGCATTAGGCATTCGCATTCCCCTCGAAGCTACCGTCAGTATCGGCGGTCTCAGTGCTCTGATGGTGAAAGATCTGTCCTGTCTGAAGTGAAGTACGTGAATGTGGTTATTAGCAATGGACTGGTTTAGTGTGGCCCAAAAGTTGTTCAAAGATCGTGGTTAGATTAGAAGTGGCATAAATGTGGTTGGTTGCTGGCATAGGATTCAGGCAACCCTCTAAATAGTAGGTCTTCAGAGCTAAACGACTCAAGTACAAAACCATTTCTGGTGTATTCTGGGCCACAGAGGCTTGCTTGATCCACTTGGAAGGGGGAAAAAATGAAAAAGCCAAAATAAACTTGTATTGCTCTTCAGTGGTAGGTCATGAAGTTGCCTAAGGGATGAGAACTCATGAGCTGCTTTCCAGATACCTTCATCCTTGATAGAGTTAAGGCATCATCTGTATTAACTCCGTAATTTGTTTCGTGGGAACTCTAGTACAACCCTCTTCAGCAACGAGTGGATCAGTCTTTCCTAGAAGACTGATTTGTAAAGGGTGTACTTACAAATGGAAAAGTGACAGCCCCGTTCTCAGTTTTATTAAGGCCTTAAATATCAAAAGCAGTCCCCTGATGATACCACGTGCTTGGGAGGCTAGTTTAGCTGGGTGGCACCCTGAAGGAGGTGTGTCACACCCATGATTTCAGGTGAGACTCATCTCGCCTGAATTTGGGCTGCCCCTGTAGACCAGGAGGAGACAGGCCCTTTGAGAAGGGATGGGATGACCTATGTTCTGAAGGTGCCCACTGACTACTGAGGACCAGCATGGTAATTTTCAGATGTCTGAAGTCAGGTGATAAGCCTTTTGGATTCAGATCTATGTAGCTGTCTGGGTCCATTTCATTATTCTTCCTCTGCACAGTTACAGTTTTCTTCGTTATAGCAATATCCATTTTGTAATATCATAATTCCAGTGTGAAAACTGATCTGGTGCCTCCACTGCCTGTTACACGATCTTCAGATGTGAAATGTCCCAGTGTCCCATTGACTCAGCAGGTTAGTAATTGTGAATCCTTTGCAGTTTTCCTTTTTTTGGAGGGAGAAGGTGGAGTTTAGTGCTTTATTTAAATTAGATCTTTGTTTTTCAGTGACAATTAAAGCTGGCTGAGATTTTTTCAGCAGCAGTGTGACTTGGAATTTTACATTTTGCTTATATTTGTACTTCATTTATATTTCCAAATATATGTAATTCTGTAGCATATGCCCCGAGAACAGCTGCTTCTGCTACTGGAGGATTCTTTCCCAGTTTGATGCTTCCTTAAGGTGATACTTTGTTCTTCACAGGGGGAGAATCAACTTCACAATTTCTTACAATATGCAAGTGTGCTTGGGATGCAGTTGTAATCACAACCTACTATCATTTATTTGCCTTTTCTTAGAGGTCTTCTTAGAGTTTTGTTGCTTGGGCTTCAAGTATTGCTTTTTTTTTTCTGTTTTCTTTTTTTCTCCAAAAGTTTTTTTGTATTACTGAAATCTAAAAAGGATAGAACTTGTCTTTTTAAATACAATCACCGGCTTTCATCATACAGTATGGTACCATATCTCTCAGCTTTCATTGTTTTATTAAGCTCAAAATGTGAGAAGCAAATTAGATGCAAAAAGGACTTGCAGGTCTGTTGTACAAGTACACAAAAGGAAAACCAAAACATGGAAGGGAGAATTCCAGATACCTAACTTCCCACACCAGTTATCATGTCTGTTAATCTGGCATGTGGATATACCAACACTGCATGCTGATACTGTATGTAGTGTGGAAACTGCACAGAACACAACCAGCAAAACGTGTTGTATTTTATCTCACAAGCAGTTAGAATAACTTAAGCTTGAACAATTTTAAAACAATAAACAGGTATTTTTCACTTTAAAGCTATCATCTAACACACTACAGTGTTCTTTGATAGGAATTAAGTTCAAGGATATTTGTATTCCTGCATATGATGGAAATTGAAAAAGATGAGCTGTCCTTGATGTTTCTGTAATGACTTGCTCTAGCAGTGAAGAGGAAGTTAGTATACGTAAGGCTAAGTACATTTATGTGCTTTGTAGAAACAGGTAACTTGAGTGATTGCATCCTGTTCAAAATTCACATTATCTTAATTTCCATTCTTACCCTATACAATGTGGCTTCAATTCATGCCCTGGAAGGAATTAATGTTACGATGTTGTGTCCACAAAAACCTCTCTTTTCCCTCTGCCCCAGACCCCCTCACAACAGTGACCATTAATTCCTTGTGAATGCTTGTTTGCAGTGTTTTGCTAAATATCAGGTAATTAGTCATGGTATTTCCTGAATAGGGAATATCAATCCGAATAGCACCAAGGGGCAGCAGCAGGCAGGGGAGAGAGGAGACAAGAGGAGGGGGGAAAGTTCTGTTTGATCAAATAAATGTAGAGACTTTACTATTCCTGGTGTGTGCATATATATACATAAAAATTGCTGTATCCTTATCCTAAGGCTGTCATAGCAGCAGTTATCAAAATACAGTATTTAAATCCTGCTGTACCTTTTCAACAACGTGTTTTAATTTGTTTACTTCAGAGACGGAATGGATCTAAAGACAGCCTAATAGAAGACACATCTCAACTATCCACTAACGTCATTGATGGAAAACCCACCACTAAGATCATAAAAACTGTTCAGGTGTCACGCTTCAAGGTGGAAACTTGACTGCTGTAACTGAAGATAATGAATGGATTTTATTATTTGGAAACTAAGAATTTGTGTGTGTGTGCAAAGGAAGGAACTGAAGTCAACGTAGTAGCAACTTCTTCAGGACGCGCAGCCTGGTTGCTGGGAAGGCCAAGAAATGCTTTTATCACTGACACCGTTCTCGTGGTGTGACTGATTGAGGAGAAGCTGCCTGATTAGACAACCAAAAAGAAAAGTCATAGTAAAACTGAATGATCAGCAGTTACATTTCCAGGAAATGAACAAAAAGAATTGCTGCAACAAACAGGCTTTATGGTCTGCTCTGTAACTGAATAGCCTTTTTCCAAAAAATGACTTAACTGACATGATCAGGACCAGATGCTTCAAGAGAAGCAAAACAGTCATCTTTTTGGCCAATTGTGCAATACAGTGTGATATGGGGAGAATTATCTTCACAATTATATATGGGGATCAACTTGTGTCCTGAGACATAAGGACTGATAGCTCTTACAAGGTTTATTTTAGCCTAGCACAACAGATGCTTGCGTTGTCAATACAAATATTGACTCAACCTGTTTTAGCTCAAAAATAATAGACTTGGTAACAACCTGTAGCAGAGACTTCCAGAGGTGATACAGACTTGCTTTCCCATGGCAGTTTTAAGTGTTCTCAATTTTGAATGCCCTTTTATGTAGAGGGACTATTTAATTGAACATTTCATACCATAGAAATACACCTATCATCACCTTTATAGTAAACCACACTGGAAAAAAACTGGAGAATATGTACTGACCCACCGTATTAAGACTGCTTAGCAAGGCACTTAAGTACTGGTTAAATGAAACTTGTAGAGTAGGATTCAAGACAGCTAGCAAATAACCTCTTTTTTTTTTTTTTTTTTAAACTAGATTAGCAAAGTCTGCCTTAATCTCTTTTCATATGAAATAATCAATGCTAGTACCTTCTGATACTTTTCTCTGAGCCATTACTACTATGATAAAATGACAAAGGCAGTATTTCAGGTATGATAATTGCAATTTTTTTCTATTGTCACGGTAGGAATAGCAAGTTTTAATGATGCTGCATATTGAGTGGGTTATCTTCTAGTACATATCTGAAGTGATACCTAGCCCTTCTCCTGACCTATCACTTTGTACAAATCGTTTTTTTGTACCATAGAAAGTCATTCCTTTGCCTCCTCTTTGTCCACAGTCAGCACATGGATGAGCCTTCTGGCGTTGCTAAATTACTAAGCAGCCTAGCAAAATCTTTGTGTTGTGAAAGTAACTTTTGCTAGGTGTAATCCCCAAACTAAATATTGAATTTGTCAAACAGCATTGGAAATGGCTGTAGTAGCTCATGTGTCTTTCTTTTTACATCTGTCCTCCTTAAACTCAAGCCCCACCACCTTCAGTGATTTGCTGTGATCCTGTGTCTTCTAGTCCTACCAACACCGTACCAGCGGACTGCAGCGCTGTCAGAAAAGTAATGCTTTTTGAGAACTGGAGTGAGCATAGGGCATCTAACTTATGCTTTACAAGAGACATGGGATTACTAACACATTTTAACAAAACTGAAAATTGAAATCTTGTATGATGTGTTTTATTTTCCACTGAATTTTTTGATTCTTTATTGTTTTATGATCTGAGGTGGTCAGGTGGATGCTACTAGCCAGGGTGGTAGCCATACAGTTTGTGTATTCCTATCACAGCGTGGATTGGTCTGCAGGTTGGGAGATGCTGCATCATGCCAGGGAAGGCAGATTCACTTAATAAATATTTTTCTTTGATCACTTATTATGGACTTCTGCTTTTTCAGTCTCAGTGAACAAATCTAAGGGAAGGAAAGAGCTTAGAACACTTCTGTCAAAAATTGTTTTTGTGGAGGTCCTTCAGCTTTTTCTGAATTTACTGTGGATTTCATCCTAGGACATTGTTGGGCTTGGCTTAAAGTATTTGCTCAAATGTTTAGTAAGTCTGTTAAATCGTTTGTCATTGCTCCAATTTAAAGTGATCCTTTAGGATCTATTTATGACCTTGTGTAGTATTCTGACAAGCACCATTAAAAACCAAAACGAAAAAAAAAAACAACACAAAAAACCCCTGTCATTGTGGCAAAGGTTGTGGTGATACAGATTAATCCAGAGCATCATCATCCTTTGGGAGATAACTGAAATACAACAAACCACACAGGAACTGGTTACAGCATCTGCAGTGAAAGCCAGTCCTTAGTTCTCCAAGAAGGTGTTCGAAGCTGGAGCATTGTGCACTTGCTTGTACTTTGTCGCTTTCTAAACCACTACTATTATTCTGCATTCCTTACTTGGACACAGGCAAGTAGAATGTATCTACTACTTTAGGAGGAATTGTGGTGTTATTATTTGAGAATTACTTGTACATAGTGTCCATATCTTGCCAATCCTCAAATATTGATCAAACAGAAAATTACTTGCAAGGTTTATGTCCAACCTCATGTTTACCTGTATGTTGTCATCTGCCTGTAGGCTTTTGTGTATTACTGCTGGATACCATCAGCCAAGTGTGTCGTATTTCTACTTATCTCACTACATCAGAAAATAGGCTTTTAACTAGTCTAATAGTGATAGGTTTAAATTCTAAAGTCACAAGAGAGTTACTTCATAACCAAGCCAACTTTTTTGCATTTAAATGAGAAATTCACAGAAACAGTCCTGGATTTGAGTTTGTGCTCTTCTCTCCAGTGAGACTACGTATGAAGCACATTTTAGCAAAGCTAATGCTGAGTGCAGGGCACTACAATAGTTTTGTATCCACAAAAGAAAGACTAAGCTTAATGCCTGTATTACATGTGAAGTATCAGTGCCAGAACAAGGGAAAACTTTTACAAGGACATCACCATCAGCTAATGGTACAGAAAAAGAAATTTCTTCCATATATGTGAGCCCCCTTTCCCTTCAAGCTTCTTTTCCTCAGTAATTTGAAGACACCTTTTCTTGTGATCTTGTTCTTGTGTGAGAGATACCTACAAGTGATCAATCATTGAAAGCACTTACTGTGTCACACCTGTGCTCTGTAGCACTAAACCAGCCCTACATCTTCTTTAAGTGGCTGGCCTCTTACAACTCTGAGCTACACCTTGCCCTTTCCACTGTTGCTACCCTTCCATGGCTTTCTAGGTGCTTTCACTGCCTAGAGGCAGTTATGTTCTCAGAGCTGGAGTTTGGATGTTGATCCAAATTGCTTGTACCTCCTGATGAGTCAGGCAAAATAACTGTGTCAGGCAAAAGTTTACCCTGGGGTTGAATGCCATACAGACCTGTCCTCATGTGGACAAACGCTATTTGAGACATTCTCTTCCTAATTCTGCTTCTAGACTGCTGAATTGATCTCAGGCCAGCAATTTTAACTTTGTGCCTCTGCATTTACCTCCTCTGAGACTTCTGTAAGTGCTAAGAATAGGTAAGTTATGGAACTCTCACTAATTAGCAACATCTATAACATAGATATACCTCTTTGCAAAACATCTATTTTATACAATAAAGAGGGCTTGCTAACCACACCACAAAAGCATTTTTGTATATTCCATACTGGTCCCCTTGCTTGTTAGCTGGTTTCTTTCATTAGCAGCTAGCTTTGACCTGTTGTTTTCTACACTGCACTTCTTACCAATATCCCTAATCTTGCAACTTGTATTCTAATCAAGCTCATTATATTGAGGATGTTGGTTGGGGGGAAAAAAAAAAACAAAACACTACCATTTAAGTTGCCAAATCAATAATCTTTATAGAGGTGAATATTGAACTGAATAGATAGCACATTTTCTTTTGGGAAAGCCTGTTTAATTCAAAGCTCCCTAGAAAGATGTTTGAAAATATACATAAACATATTAATGTGATGCATATGTTCTATGTACATTAAGTATTCATGAAGCAACTGTGTGCTTTATTTTAAATTGAGTTTGATAGATAGCTGTGTCAATAGTTGTGTCCAGGTTATTTAAAAGTCAAGTAAAACTTGAATTTTTAGGGCATTCCATGGTTGCCTGTGTGTCTTATTTACATTACACAAAGGAGCAAAGCCTTCAGAAACACAGATTCATTTGACACCACCATCTGGTAAGAACAGGTGTAGTGCCAATTAAAATCCACTCGAGGATACAGCTTCTTCAGATTAAATATTTTTCCTGATAGCAGAAAGTTGTCAGCGTAAGTTTTATGCTTCCAGTGCATATCCATACTACAGTTGCCTTTCTTATCTAAAAAAAAATCACCAGAAAACAACAGCAGCCTATGTGAGCTGCCAAACCAAACATACAGATGCAGAGCCAGCGTGGCAGATGCTCTCTCCTTAATATGCCTGTTTTAATTGCTCTCCTGTATTAGTCTCCTTGATAAGACTTGTGTTGGGTTGACTCTGGCTGGACACCAGGTGCCCACCAAGCTGCTCTATCACTTCTCTCCTTACCAGGACAAGGCTGCAAGAGAAAATAAGATGGAAAAAAATCTCATGGGTCAACATAAAGGCAGTTTAATAAAGCAAGAGCCACGCCCAGAAGCAAAGCAAAACAGAAGATTTATTCTCTATTTCCCATCAGCAGGCAATGTCTAGCCACTTCTGGAAAGTAGGGCTTTACTCAGTAGACATAGCAACAAAGGTCATAATAATGAATGCCTCTCCCTGCTCCCCTGTCCCCCTCCCTCTTAGCTTTTATTGCTGAGCAGACATTATATGGTATAGAATATCGCTTTGGTCAGTTTGGGTCAACTGTTCTGGCTACATCCCCTCCCAAGGTACACTGGGGGCGGGGGGTGAATGTTGGTGAGACAGCCTTGATGCAGTAACCAAAACGTAGGTTTGTTATGAACACCTTTCTAGGTACCAACACAAAGCATAGCTCTATGAGGACTGCTGTGGGGAGAATTAACTCCACCTCAGCCAGACCCAATGCATTAGTGAAGAAAACCACTGCCCTCCCACCTGGTCACAATTTAAATGATACACCTTACTCCTCACTGTAATGTTAAGACCTCAGAAACAGGT